AGCCAAGTTTCCTTGGTCTTATTCCAGACTGGCTCCTAGGTCATTGGCAGTCTGCAGATCATCTTTTATGTGAAAGTAAGATGACTTACATCTGAAAATCCCATATAAGTTAGAATTCAATGTGAAATCCAGGCTATCTCTGGTTTCCACTGATTCTCATTATGAGATCTGAGATAATTTTCATGCTGAAATTAAGAGCAAAACACAAGGTGCAGGAGCAGGAGAAATACAAGCCTATATCAACTGAAATTGAAAAGAAAACATTTGTATCAATCCTGAAAAGCAAAATCAAGATTCACACCTCTCTGGATTCAGTAAGAAATACAATATGCCCCTGAGAGCAAACGAACTTGGCAGAAAAGCACCTATCTCAGTTTCTGATTTGTGAGTGGACAACATAAAGAAGCAAAATAAGTGAGAAACCTACTGGAGCAACAAAAAAAGTGAATATCATCTCACTTTTCAATACTTTTTCAGTACCTTCAACCAGAAATCTTGAAAATAATTCAGACTTAATTGCACACATTCTCTACTTGTTGTTTATTGTAATCAAACACAGATTTGTAAAAATACAAGTAAAAAACTTCAGAGCTGCCAACTTAGTCTTGAAAGAACAAACAAGCCAAATGCAACCAAAAGGGTGTCATAAGAAGGGCACAGAATACACCCTTGGCTGCATGTACAGTATTGTTTTTGATTTGTAACTTTTTCCTATGCAATAGGAACACACTGGTGCCAACAAAGTGTTCAAGAAATGTGTAGATGTGGTGCTTCGGGACATCGTTTAGTGGGTTAGGTGGTGTTGGGTTGACGGTTGGACTTGATGATCCTTGAGGTCATTTCCGACTTTAATGATTCTATGATTCTGTGATTTTAACCTTGACATCTAATTAAAGATAGAAATCAGCTGAACAGAGCTGGGAAAAAAAATGACAGTGGGGTTCCGTTTCCAAAGGTAGGGTTAGCATGAGCCCAGGTCCCACCTGAATAAAACTGCGGGAGTTCAGCATCAGCTGGGTTGTGGATCTCATTCTGAACTGTTCCAGGTAGGAGGTAGGGACTAGTCTGATCAAAGCTGATGCTGCCCTCTTTTCTGTGATCAAACCCTGAACTGTGTCTCTCCAATCCACAACACACTCTCAAGAGTGGCAGGTAATCAGAGCTGCCTTCAGAAGATGTGTAGAAACGTGACCTGTTGCCAGCAACCCACACAATGCCCTGTTCTTTGAGTCCATGGACAGATCACGCAGAGCTTTCCTTTCAAAAAAAAAAAAAAAAATCAAACCCAACTACTCTCTGACTTTGGCATTACTGCTTTCCTTATTTTGTCAAACGTTCCCGTTGTTCCCTGGGGAGACCGTGGTTGTGGCAGGGAGGACAAAACTGGAATACAACCCATTTTCCACACAGAGGGGCACTGATGAAGGCTCTTTCTGCTCTATATGGGCTTGAAAGAGTCACTGCTCCAGGAGCATCCTGCTGTGCCCTTCTCACAGCTCCAGTCCTGCTGGGTCCTTGCTGGTACAACAAGAGGGCAAAGGCGGGTTTCAAGATTCATTCACACACTCCCTCATTACTAAGAGCCATCATGTCAAACATTTGCAAAAGTAGTAGAAATAAACAAAAGTTTGTGGCTGTGTCTGGGTTTTTCCCATTTGTGGTTTGATAAGGAGAGAAGAAAACAGATGCTTTCCAGCCACAGCAGATTTGTTCTTTTGTTCGTTTGTTTACTATCAGCTTCCTATTCCTTCCTCCTCCCAACTGATGCTGCCCCTTCGTTGCTATGGTCCGGAGCCCTTCACTGAGCCACAGTATAAGAGAAGAGAGGAGAAAAGAGGAGAAAACACTTGGCTTGACTGTAGAAAGGGGAAAATCACCATTTGGTCTGTGTTGGCAGCAAGCGCTATATAAGCCCTCTCTCCAAAAACTGGCTGGGCAAAGTGGTGGCTGGTAGGTGTGAGGGCAGCTGAGGCTGTGCTGGTCCTTCTGTCTTCACCCACCTGGCATGGCAGCTCTTCGGACCTTGGCACACTGCACACAGATCTGGGGTGCTCGACAGGAGCCAGCGCGTGCTCACTCACTGCTTTTCACACATACATCCAAGCTTCGTTCTCTGCGGCCACACAATTACTCCGCCAAGCCATAGTTTTTTAGGATGCCTGCTATTCAGATGTGGCATATTTGTTCTTTAATGAAATAAACTGCTTTAAAGCCATTTTGGCACAAATTAAGTGTTTGTGATACACAACATAAAAGAACTATTAAAAAAAAAAGAATGATATCAGGAGGGTAAGAAAAACCCTAATAATTTTCCATATGGACATACCTTTCATGTACAATGGCCATTATATGCCCACACCTGTTAGTAGATGGGAACTAATTAGACAGAGGTACAGCAGCGTGTGCCAGCGGACAGTCTGGTGATGTGCTAGTGTTACACCACCCATTACTGTATCTTTTCCTCCTGGGAAATTCAAAGCGTTATGCCCTGTGTACAGCTGTGCCCTATTTGTAATCTAAGCTTCTGGCCTGACTAATCACCATCCATTAAACTCCCATTTTCTTCACGAGTTGCACATTTTCCAGATCAAACCCTGTGTCTTAATCATGCAACAGACTGAGCTCAGAAATACACCTGCGTATGGTGCTGGAAGTGAGGGCAAGGCAGAATTGAATTGCATAGGTCCCCTAAGCCTCTGAGATACTTAACAGATATGTTTAGATGCACATTTAAATGATGTATTGAAAAATAGATGCCCCCTGTCCCAGAAATCCTGCTGGGACTATCAGCAGGGGTGCTGCAGCTGCCAGGGAGCCTCGGAAGAAATTCTCAGGAAAATGTGATGCAGGATGACGAAATTCCTGCAAGAACTTTCATCATGAAATTTAGTAGGGAAATGACAGATGTCATGGGACTGCTAATTAACAAAAAATCAGTTACAGCAGTGAGTAAAAGATCAGCATTAAACACACAGGGCTGCAGAGTAATGATTTAGGTTCCTGTAAGTTTCAGCCCTAAAATAGTCTGCAGACTGGAATCTCTACAGCAGCATGGAAATGACGTGCCTCTGGAGGACCTGAAAGGTCATCTACAAGCATCTCCCTCAGCAAAAGCAGGGCAGCTTTCCTTTTGCCCTTCTGGACACAGCTCTGTCTAACCAAAAGTGAACTTTCCACCTTGGATTTCTGCCAAACAGAAGGAAGCCAAGACTGCCCTGTCTCTTTTGCATGCCAGCCCAGGGCGAATACTACACTGGCCAGGCCTGATGTGGTTAAGCAAAGAACGGCTTTCAGGGTTAATTCAGCAGCGGATGTAGCTGTAACGAGCATCTGCAAAGAACTGTGCTACAACACAGCCTAGTCCCCTTCACTTGTGGAACACAGCACCCACTGGGGGAAGCAGGAGAGACCAGTTTTACAGGTGTGCTTTCCACCTAAACCCACCGCTGAAATATTCCCAGCCCTTGGACTCAGCCTTAGCCCCTCTTTTTCACTAGATCAAAAGACTGGTACCCAGAATACCAGGTTGTAATTTGCCTCTGTCAATGAATCAGTAGAACTAATATAATGCATTTAGCATCAAATGTTGATGAATTTTCATAGAAATGATAGAGTGAATACTGTTCTCCTTATGTTCCTGATGTGCCCAGGCTGGGGCGAGTTAGCAACAGACCCTGGAGAGGTACAGGGAGAGGAGAGGTAGATTTTTTCCTGGATTTTTTGATCTCTTCAGTTGAGTTACACTTTATTACTTATTATTACACAATCCTTACTAAGACATATTTTAGTTAAGGCTTTTTATTACATATTGTCATACCCTATGAAATTATTACATGACACCACTTATTTTAGAGAAGTCCAGTGCTAGATTCTCAAGAACTAGTTGGCACCGGCAAAGTGTGTGTCTACATCTGCTCACAGACAGTAAGCTGTTGCCACTAGTTTTTCAACAATATACAAAAACATTTCACTGAATGTTGGCTATTCCACTCCCCCATCTTTTAACTATTCTCAGTGTAACTGCGTCTTTAAATGACAAAATTTAAGGTCTCTGAGCAGTCAAAGGACAGACTGTACCCACTGCCCTTTAATGGTAAGGAGAAGCTGCCCACACTGCAGCCCCCTCTGCACATCCCACCTCACACTGGTGATGCTAGATGGAACCTTTACCTGGCGAGTGTCTCATTTTTTCCATCCATAACAAGCTACACAACAGCTACTTTTTTTTTTTCTTTAAGGAAAAAAAAGAAAAGTAGCTTCTCTAAAAGGAAAGAGGAAGCCAGAAATTTCATAGCGTCTCAGCCCTGCCCCATGATGCTCCTTCCTGTCTGAATTTCCACCTGCCCCTTCTGCATATATAAGGCAGCACACGTGGGGTAGAACTGTTTAGTCGCCTGCCTCCATACAGAGGATTAGTAGCAGCGGGGAGTGATGCTGTTTCTCCTTTCCTCTGCAGTTCCCGGGAGGTGAGGGAGCTCTGGCTGGACTCACTCCTTGGGTAAGTACTCACCCAGATTAAATCTGTGGTGTCGCGGTCAAAGTCGGTGGAGTGCTTCAGATGCAGCCGTACAGAGATGTACAAAAATACAGACAGGGGAGAGGTGTGCCCACTGCTAAGTGTAGCTCGTGGGCAGAGCTGACTGACTTCCTTAGCCTTGTGTTTGCAGATTAACAGCCATACGTAGCTGTTGCCACTTGCTCATTTTTTGCAAGGATTATAAATGGAAAGCTGCTTTTTTTTTTTTTTTCTGTTTTAATCAAGAGGCAGCTAGAGCAGCGGGGCTGAGTCCCTTCCTGAGAAGGGTTTTATGATTGACTTGTCTGGGATATCTTGCTGGTTCGGGATCATACTTAAACGCTAGACTAGCTTGCACGGGAGAAAGACAAGAAGGGTGCAGTTTCACAAAGCTCTTTCTTAGTCTGTTCCCTGTTCAATAAACAGGCAAACAAAAGGACCGAAGGAAAGCAGAGTGTCCAGAGCTCCCCCGATCAAACTCCTAATGAAAGTGTTAAGCAGCTGTAATACCGTGAGTGTCTTTACTGCTTCAGCTCTGTCAGCAGTGATTTTGAAAAGCTCTGATTTCTAAACCGTAGCATTCCATTACTCACATAACGTCTTTGTTTTCTCTCCTAGTCAAAGACACTAAATGCTGGGAACATGGAGAGCCTGATCGAGTGCCAGTTGGAGGTAAGTAGCTGCTACGTTTCCCCTGATCCCTGTTGGGTATTAATGTGAAATATCTCTTCAGCTCTGTCAGCAGTGATTTTGAAAAGCTCTGATTTCTAAACCGTAGCATTCCATTACTCACATAACGTCTTTGTTTTCTCTCCTAGTCAAAGACACTAAATGCTGGGAACATGGAGAGCCTGATCGAGTGCCAGTTGGAGGTAAGTAGCTGCTACGTTTCCCCTGATCCCTGTTGGGTATTAATGTGAAATATCTTCACAAAAGTGGGGGTGTAGGAGCTGCCGGCTGCCTGACACTACCCACGAGTGGGTGCAGCCAATGCAGAAGGAGCTGGGCACTGCTGTGAGCATCCAGCCTGTTCCCTGGATGCTGGGGAGTTTGCTCAGGAATCTGGCAGGTTCTGAGCCATCAAGGCTCCCTGGAGAAGTTTGGGAGGAAATCTCCAGTGTCAGGAGAGGACATAAAGAGCAGCCTGAAAGAGCTCAGGGTTGTGACCTGCTGGGCAGGTCTGGGATGGCTGGCTGCAGGGTTTACCACAAACCCCTCTGCTGGGCAGCAAGGCAGGGTCACTCCTGCACCCAGGCGCCTCTTTAGCAGGTGTTGGGCTTTCTCTGGAGCCTCTCACAGATTTCTGAGGAGCTGCCACAACTCGCTGGTGGCTGTCGGCTGCTGGTGGCAGCTCTGTAACTCTGACACACTTCTTGCAGGCTGATGCCAAGAAATGCCCCCCGCTTGTCCCAGCAGATGCTGAAGATGGACTTTTCCACTTGACTGGTGAGTTTTAAAAACAAACAGAGGAATTGCCTTCTTACATATTGGTTGCATTTGCTGGCACTTCTGCAAAACCACCTGAAACTGCCCTCTTCACCTCCCCGAGAGCAATCCACAGCCCTCAGCCCTGTCCAGGAGATGGCTTAACCCCTGGAGTGCCACTCACTTGCAAGTGACTTCTTTCCCTTATGCTCAGTGGCAAGGGTGACAGTGCTGAGTGACAGAGGTCTTGTATCCCTGTTACTTGGTTCTCTGAGCCACATTTCATTGTGTTCCCTGGCAGTGACAGAAAGCAAATGTGCTCTTTTCTCACTTGAGCATCACCACTGAGGTGTGGCACTGCAGGCAAGTAGCACTACCAGTGGTTGCACGCCAGAGCAAATAAACACCCTTGGCAGCAGCAGCAGCACTTGTTTTCTCTCGCCATGCAAAACCTCAGCACCTGTAAACAACCCGGAGGAGAACATTAGCAGGGCAGGGTCAGATCTGGAGCAGACCATCGTATCAGATCAGTTTTCAGGAGTATCAGAAGCAAACATTTTCTATGTCACTATAATGTTAGGTGATGTTCTCTTAGCTTTTAACCCCTCCCTACCATGGACTTGTGCTAAGCCACAAATGCAGGTCCTGAGAACTTCCCATCTGCGTAAGACAACTTAATTTTGGAGTAGAAGGCAACTCCTTTATAGGAAATTTGCAGAAGGCAACTCCTTTAGAAAGATTTCTAGCAAAAGGATCCTTCTCTAAGTGTTTCTGGAAGGGAAAAAAAGCCGCACCTCATCCCAATACAACCATCATCTCCAAATTCCTAGCATGCTCTCCTAACAGGCAGATGCAAAACCCATGCTAAGAGATTTCTGATCCTGAAGCCAATGAGGCCCTGCTGTGATGCTCCCATCCTCTGGATCAAATGTCACTTTCCACTGGCTGGCTGGCTGGCAGGGTCAAGCACTAGCTCTAGCAGGACCACTGTCATTAGAGCTGGCTTCGAAGGTGGCAGAGCTGGAGCTGTGTATTTTTATTTCAGCCTGTGAAAGAGGCTGAAAAGCAGAAGTCCCTAGTTCCACCCTTGCTTTAAAGATGGGGCACAGCCAGACCGCAGAGTGAAAATTGTTGTAGTTGCCAGCTGCCCAAGTGACATATCAGCCTTAGATAGTTATCACAGAAACCACTGCAATATCAAGAATCTCTGTAAATACTGTAATTTCTATGCCTTGTATGTTCCCACTTTCTAAGAACAAATGGTGGCTAGAATGTGAAAAAAACCAAACTCAAAAACAGGAAAGGTGGTGTCCTTAGAGGGATGGTCACAGTTTTACAGTTTAGGCGGTTGTTTCCTTAGTAACCACTTAGTTGTCTTTCAGTTTCTCTGTTTAGTTTGAGCTGTTTGAATATACATCTCTGCACCACACACAGATGAAATGCTGCGTAGCATGCTCTCTTTTTTAAAAAAAAATATTTTTTGCTTTCCTTTTGCTTGCAGCAGACAGAACAAAGAGAAGAAAGAAGGTGATATCACAGTCATTTACTCTGAGACGAAGCTCTACCAACAGGAATTCCACAGGGCAGCTAGACTCCGGTGCCAAAATCACTCTGTTTGGCCAGCCTCTGTCAATAATCTGTGGGGAAGATGACACACTGCCCCAACCAGTCCAGGTAAGCAAGCCTGGTGATGCATTCCATAGCTCTAGCTTCCAGTGTGAGGCAGGAGGCCCGGTACTTGTGCTGCAGCACCCAGGAGATGAGTGATTTTGGTGTTTCTGAAAATCTCAGGGACCATCCCAGATGCAGAAGGAGTCAGGTCTGTGGGTTTCATCCAGCTCACCCAGCTTTCACTGGAAGTAACTTTGAGTGGAGACTACCCAGGACCAGGAATAGGAGAAGATCTGCTCCTTAGTATAAACATTCATGATTCTACAGAAGTCATTTAAATGAATCTTTCAGCTGCATAAACTGCTAAGGATTTCTGTATTTCCCTGAAAAAAGTATTCAGGTATGGACTCCCACCAACAACCTAAACACTATCTTCTGGATGAAAATGGTCTTGTGATGGTTCTCCCTCTGAGTTGGCTTTTCCCATGGACAGGCTTTTGTCTCTTCTAGCCAATATATGCCTGGCTTGGGAGGGAAGGGATTTGAACTAAGACTTAAGTTATCCCTTGTTTCCTTCTGGAAGTGATGAGTTGACTGAAGTCAGCAGAATTCACTAGTCCAAAAAGAAGGGTTGGGGGAAAATCAGGTTATTGCCCATGTAATCTACTTGGAGCAAGAACTAGATACTGACCTAATTAGAGCACAGTGTACCTCCAGACAATTTTTCTTCTGTTTCTAAAGAAATGTTCACCTGCTAAAGGACCTTCCTTCACCCAAGTAACTGTTCTCTCATTCCTGTCTGTTTTTTTTCCATGCAGGATCTCCTAGCTATATTGTATATGAAAGGACCTTCCACTGAAGGGATATTCAGAAAAGCTGCCAATGAGAAAGCACGAAAGGAGTTGAAGGAGGACCTAAACAAAGGCGGGAACGTTGATTTGAAAAGCAAATCTGTGCACCTGCTGGCAGTGGTCTTGAAGGTGAGCTTCTCTGGTCTGCTGCACCAGGAGGGCATTGCTAATCTGCACAGGCTCACCTCTGTGCCCAGAGCCGACTTAGGTGGGACTCCAAGCTAAAGCCAGGGCCAAGCCAGAATAAATATTTCAGGCTTAGGAAAATTTGGCATTTTCCTTCTCCAACTGATTTTCAGTCCCACTTGTTGTGCCGCAGATTTCCTGTGTGCTCACAGGAAACTCACTTCATCCTCCTCCTCAGCATCCTCCCCAGGGAGGAATGCTGACATTTATGGGTGAAGGAAAGGCAGCTAAGAGCTGGGTCCCATTACTACCCCAAGGCAAGGGTACTTGGCATGTACTTGTGCAGTGCACTGCTCTGCCAGTGTTTGATGGTCAGGTAGCTCAAGCCAACCTGCCTCCTAGTGAGCCCATGTCAGGGTGATGCTCCCTTTGTGCTCAAGGGTAGTGTTCAAAGCCTCACCTAAATCTCTTGGCCTTGCAGGACTTCCTCCGGAATATTCCCTCCAAACTCCTGTTGGTTGACCTCTATGAGAAGTGGATGCAAGCTCTGGAGAAGCCAAGCAAGGAGGAAAAAATTGAAGAATTGAAAGAGTAAGTTTTGTAACCAGCTGCAAGGTGATGGAGTGGCTGGTAGAGGCCAATGATGTCTCTCAAAATCTCAAAAGCTGCACAGCACAACCGTGGGCTTTCATGTGCTGTCAGGAAGCCTCTGGTGACATCCCCTGAAGTCATCCCATCTACTCAAGGACAGGGACTGCTGTAATGCTTGCCTTTCAGTCAAGACCTTGTTAATTCAAGATCTTATAATTAACCACATGCTAGCTGCTGTTGGGGATTTCTGAATGATACTTCCGCTAAGCAGTGAAAAAAAGCACACACACGCCTCTCTCTGGAGGAAGTGTCATCTATCTGAGTTTAATTGAGACTTGCTCAAATACAGAAGTAGCGGTTGCTGCACCATGAATTAATGTCACATTTTGTTTGTGTTCATGCAGGGTGGCTGACAAACTGCCTAGACCAAACCTTGCCTTGCTCAAGCACTTGCTGTCCCTGCTCCACCACATCAGCCAAAATGCTGAGACCAACAGGATGGACTCCAGCAATCTGGCCATCTGCATTGGCCCAAACATGCTGGGCCCAGAGACAGACAACATGCTCCCGCTGGAAGTGCAGAAGGAGATGAATGACAAGGTGTGTTGAACTCCCCAAGCAGCCACCCACTTTGGGACAGCTCCGAGTTATCCGTAGGCATCCCAATACCACTGCAAAAGCTGAACAAAGCAGTACCCCTGGCCATCGGGGTGCCCCTCATCTCAGGTGTCTGCAATGTGATGGGCAATGCTGCTCTTCATCTTGTAGCAGTTGCTCTGCAGCCCCTTGTGCCATAGCACAGCTCCTGAATACTTCGTACACAGAGGGCAAGGGGCACCCGGTGGGCATCGGCCTTTGGACAGTGAGACTGAAGCTGTGGCTGATGGAGTTTTGTCTGTATTGGGGCAGATCGATTCATGTGCAGCATCAGGCTTCATCCTCCAGAGTGGACTTAACCCTCTGACTTTAGGATTTGGGCAGAAGCCACCCTGCTGAGTGCTGCCCTTCATACGAAGACAGCAGGCAGGGGCAGGAAAGACTGTTCAATATGTTTTCAGCTCTTTTGACTGAAATAAACTGTTTTCTGTGTGCAGGTGACGGTGTTGGTGGAGTTCCTCATAAACAACTGCTCAGAAGTATTTGGGGAGGACACTGCCTTGCCCATCTGTGCCTTGGCTGAGGAGTCGCTGGAGCTCACAGACAGCTCCACAGGTATGAGAAGGGACTGGACATGTCACAGACTGGGGCTGCTGGGCTAAGTTCTTCAATTTGATATGGGAATACATCTGTGGAAACACAGAGATTTGTAGAGGGCTCAAGAGACTGTTGAAGTGCACTTCTACAGGAACTCTTTCCATACAGTTCCCTTTTGTACTCAAATGATCAGTGAAAACTAACAGGTGCTTTCTCCCCACAGAACACCTATGTGCTGCTCATCAGAATGACTCTGCCTATGACAGCCCAGATCCTGAAGGTGAAGGCAGCCCTCGTACCTCTCAGGTGGAGCAGCCCAAAGGGAGGAGCACTAGTGTGAGCAGAAGATATCCATCATGCATCTCTGCCCCTTCACTGGCTAATTTCAGAAATGACATCAGCACAATGGACAGGAGGTACTCGGAGCCAGACCTGTCCTTCCAGAACCGCCTTGAAGGCAGGATAAGGAAACAGAAGCTAAACAAAAGTGAGGACTTTTTCAGCAGAAACAGCTAGGGTTGGAGGCACTGGAGAAATGTCTCACAATCTTGCCTTCACAATTATCAACTGACTCTCTACCTAAAACACCCTCCAGTTGCTCCCTGGAGAGCTCTGATGGCTCGGTCTTCACCAGCTCCCCAGTAGTTTCACCCTCTAGTCCCAAAAAAACCTTTTTAAATAGGCCCCAGTCCTTTTCCACCAAGGCCACTGAAGACTGCAGTATGCCTAGCAAAGAGATCAAGAAGCATTCCATGTCATTCTCTTTTGCAAACTGCAGGAAAACACTAATAAAAACCCAGAGTTGGGGGCCTGGAAAAAACATGGGTTTTCAGAGAGACAGTTTCACAACGAAAGAAGATGAGTTCTCCTGCAGAGTTGTCCAGAACAGCCCTGATGATGACAAACCATTGCCTGTGGCATACCAGCAAAGGCCCCGTTTCAGGTCAGCTGATGAAGTGTTCAGAGAGGTAGACCAGAGGAATCCTGGAAAACCACCCTCTTACGAAGAGGCTACAAAAAACTGCCTGGCCACTAAAGTTCCCTCCAACAATCTCACGGTTCAAACTATGAGGTTAAAGGTGTCACACCAGGATGATTTGCCACCTCATCCACGCAGCAGCTGTGCACAGGACGCAGCACGTACGGCTCTAAGGGATCTACCCAGTGGCAGAGTTTCTGCAGGGAAGGATTCTGATGTGGACACCGAAACTCTCAGTGTCACCGTTGGAATAAACTCCCGTGTGAGTTTACCTGTGACCCCGGGAGTTTACCGATTGAGAGCCATGTCTGAATCCTATCAAAAGAACAAACTTGAGTATGTGGCTCGGAGGTGCAGCCAGCCAGTTTTTGAGGTAGACCAGATCCAGTATGCTAAGGAATCCTATGTTTAAAAAGCCTATCCCTCCTCTACGCACTGTACAAAGTAAATATTGTAAAAATAGACATTCTGCTCATCCTTTGTAAGATTTTACTTTCGAGAGACCAAGAATAAGCTAGCATGAACATTTTTTTTCCTTGAGGCTCTCCTGAACTGTCTGTCAGCTTGACATGTCACATGTGTATTATTATGTAAATATGTAAGTGAATATGCTGTACATAACTTGTTGTGTGGGAAAACTAGTTAGTGTTTGATAAACAGTGTTGTATTTGTATCCTTGAAAGGACAATTAAAAGGCTGGCAGGTCCCAAACCTGTCCCACCTTCCTTTTCTCTTCTGTATTGTCACCATGCCATTTGTCACGTGTGTGTGCCAGGCTGATGCTTTGCTGATTTTCTGCATTAAGAAGTAGGCTGGCAGTTACCCCAACTGAGGAAGAGCTGTTCTATGACCAAGGACACTTCAGCACTCTTCCATAAATCCCCAGTACCTGCCGCCGTTCCCTTTTCCTGCTTGCTGGTAATAGAATGATCTGACTACTAACCAGCATTAGTGTTGTACACCTGGGTTTAGAGCCATCAAAACCCTACGAGGTCATGATGGGAATGTATCAAGTAAACCTCATATGGCCTGAGTGCTTTTGGTCTAAATAAACTGCACAGGCTAAGCAGAAGGAAAGAGTATCTTCAGGTTTGCTTTTATGAGGGGAAAAAACCCCAAACAACAAAAACTCCTGTAAGGAAACATTCTGGATTCCAGCTTTAAATAGTTAAAGCTGCAGCTCAATAAAAAAATTATAATAATAAAAAATTTAAAAAAGGAAAATACCAGATAGTATCCTTATAGCCTTGTAAAAATGACTGGAAGTGCAATGTGTTTTTTACATGTAGGAACTTGTTCTGGTTAGCACTTACCTCCCCTTTTATGGCTCAGCATAACCTTGAACCAGGAGTAGGGAGACTTTAGTTTTTCTCCTGTGTAACCTCACTACAATAAAACATTTTTCTGCATGAATGATAAATTGTCCATTGTCTGTCTTTAAAACATCCAGGCCCTACATGTACTGTACCTACTTTTATACTATTCTGTAGGTACTGCAGGTCTGTTTGAATGGCATGGCATATCTAAGTAGCGGGAAGGAAAGGAACTGACCAGCAGTATCACTACTACCGTGGTTGTAAAAGGCTGCAGGCTAGATTTTGTGAGCAGCAAAGAAGTGATGCTGCTCCAAAAGTGGAGCAGATTATAAAATAGCATCTCAGGTATGATGTTTTCCAGGTGTAGGTGTTCACAGGATGCAGAAAAAGGGGAAGGAGAGTACCTGGACAGGAGAAATTATGTGAGGATTACCATACTGGTAGGCTGAAACTAGAGAAAATGCCACTTCACTCAGCATGCTAAGCAGTGGCACTCTGCTTCCAAGCAAGTGGAATGAGAGGGCTCTGCTGCAAGCTGCAAAAGGCATTTGCCATTTTCTGGAAGCTGCAACTCCTTCACCACAGAATCACAGAACAGGTGAGGCTTGAGATCCTCCTGTCCAACAGCCTACTCAAGCAGGGTCAGCTAGAACAGGTTGCCCAGGACCGTGTCCAGACAGCTTTTGAATATTTCCACAGACAGAGACTCTGCAACATCTCTGAGCAACCTGTTCCCATGTTTAACCACCGTCACAGTGAAAAAGTGTCTCCTTGCATTCAGATGGAATTCCATGTGTTTTAATTTGTGCCCATTGCCTCTTGCCCTGCGTCAAGAGGGAATGACAGCTTTCTTTTGTAAAAAACACATGCATCTTGCCCTCATGGCAGAGCAAGTGTGAAGAGATAATCCACGTGCAGTGGAAAGGCTCAGAAGCCACAGAACAGAAAACATGAACTTCAAAATGTATCCAAACAACAACATGGCTACTTCTATGGTAAGTGACTCATTCTTTTTGACTGTGACAAGACTAAGGATCCCAAGAAGAGGAACTGCCCGTTTCCTTTCCTGTAACCACACCAGAAAACCCAGGAAGAATAAGCAAGGTCACTTCACCAGAGATGAGGAAAGCCTCTTCCCAAGGCAGACATGACAATCACACTCAGAAAGCTTACCTGGGCTCTAAATATTCAATACACATGAGCCTAAATCTTCCAGATCCTGGATAAGAAAGTCCATTTGGAATTTCTTTTAAGGCACTTCAATAGTGGGAGAAAAAGGAAGATGTGCGTAACAGAGAGGAGCTCTACACATTGTCAACCAGCAAGGGGTAAGGAGAAGGAGTTGTATAAAAGAGCTTCCCAGTCCCCCTCACCTTGACCTGGCATTTCTTCAGCTGTGGAAACACCATGATTAAACAAAATCTGAATGTAAATGGACGACAAAACAGATTTACTACCTCATGACAGATAACTTTTGTCTTCCTCTGTCTCTTAAGACTTGCCTGTTCAGTCAGCGTTATTTTCATGTCATGTCCCTTCACACAAGTGATTTCTCTTCTATATAAGCACTTAGGAGGCCTCAAAAGACTAGAATATAAAGAAATCAGAGATCTTTGCTTTAGCAGTTACTCATCTGCCTTCAGCTCAGAAAACAGCTTTATCATGCTACCAGCCCACCACACCACATTCGAGTATCCAGCCCAACTATCCTGACCTCCAAGAGTAAGGCCCTTTAGCTGCTATATCCAACCAGTGAATTACCTAAGTGCCTTTGTCAAAGCTGTCTTCGACTCCCTAGCCAGAAAGCTCAAATACCCATTTATAGCTGGGTCAGCTAGAAATGGATTTTGGCACAAGAGCTGAATGATGACAGCAAGCCTCCTATTCTCCATGGGTTACTCCATCATCAGTATTGCATCACTTGCTTCACACATCCAATTTCCTAGTTAAATCTCATGAAAACATTCTAAACGTACATAGCATATAAGACTGAAAGAGGGGGAAAAAAGCAATATTATAGCAGATCTAAGCCATCGTTGTGTAAGGCAATGCTGGAATTAAAGCTGTTGGTGCAGCCTGAATTCAGTTCCTTGTGTTGGCATCCTGCTCTTGTTTTTCAATCACATGATGTACTACTCTATTCTTCCCCACAGGATGCACCTGCTCTGGGGAGGAACCAAGGCTGTGCAGCAAAGGAGAAAGTTTTAATTCTGGCATTCCCCAGCTCAGCTTGACTAGCAGGGTACCTGGGCTTTAGACATATCATCTGAATTTCTAGGATCTGAAAGAGCCAACAGAAGAACAAAAGAGTTCCTCATGGAGCAACATGTGCCTCTCCTTCCTTCCCCGTGTTGTGCACTGAGTACCTGCAAAGTCTTGTTCTCTGCCACTTGAATTAGGACAGCAACCTACAGCAAAAGCACATTGTTATCAACTCTATGGCCACACATTAGTGAAGACTGAAACACCATGCCTGCAGGTTTCACAAACATTTGGACTGGCACACAGGTGCAGACTGCAGACAGACACATTTAGTTATCCATATGCAAGCATTTATGTGAGCCTGTGTCTCATCTTCTGCACAGTCTGCATTTGAGCATCTCTCTGGACTCCTGGGATGGATTTGAGTGCAGGTGGAACACAGCTGCCTGAAAGTAGGTGTCTAGGGTCATGTGGGTATCTTATGGCCCCTCCAGGAATTTTCTAAGGCGTCAAAAGTGGATGCAGGTCCAGATATTTAGGCAGCTGAATCCTTCCCTAAAATCTTCTGTGACTGTGATGGGAGCTTAGGCTCCCACCTCACATGTTGATGCCACATTTATATACCTTGAATGTAGGTCTCTATAAACAAGGGCTGACCCTTACTTTTACTGACAGCAGAGAACTTGTGAAATTTTTTGTAATGGGATTGTATCTCTTCAGCCTTTTGCTTAAAAATAAATCTCTATATTTTCCTGTAGCACTAAAGCCAAAATGGATGGCTTTGGGATTTCTGCTGGGACTACGTATACTTTAACGTTAAAGAGCTAATGCTAGTGTTAAAAGCTAATGATAAAATTCCTGCCTCATAACTCAGTTACATATTGTAGGGAGTTCCAGACAGTCCATTTTTACCATAATATTCCCTCTTGTAATACTGCTATCAAATGTCTCCAACCACAACAGGAAGAAGTATCACAGTCGACAAAAATCCTGACTGTGTTATTTTTAGTCTGGGAAAAGGAGTTATTATTTCTCTACTGTCTGTTCTGGTTTTGGTGCTGATCCATGACAGGAGAGCAGGTGGTTTGTTGCAGCACCACACCAGCACTGCTTATTCCTGGGCTGACTCATTCCTCACTCATCCAATGCAATTCAGCTTCCCATTGCACCCAGGCAGGTCTCTTGGCCCAGAGAACAAAGTTTTTGCCACAGTGATGCCAAGAGATGACAGTACTTGTCTATCACAGGAGTAAGCTTTGAACAAATATAGGTAGGCAGCCCAGGATCTTGAATGATAGCCTGAAGTAGACAAAGGAATTCCCAAGTTAAGGAGCCACTGATTTCCAGTGCCTCTTTTCCAGGACCTCCAAGCTCGAGGGTTCCTGAGAGGAAGATGGGATTATGGTTGTCAGGAATTCTATCAGTGGCACACTGCCAAAAACTCCATGACAATAACATTATCTTTCTTCCCCAAAATCCATTAAGTTATTCTCTCTCTCAAGAAAAGAGGATGTTTTCAAGTGTCATTCATGCAATCCTACATTTCTGTTCAATGTAAATAATGTCTTTGATAATGGGTGCATGAGCCATTTCACCTGCCTAAGACACAGTAGGCCTGCTTCTCCACTGCTCTGCAGACTCCAGAGCACCAAGAGGTGTGTGGAGCAGGTGTGAAAAACTGTTTTCTTGGTACACATTCCCGCTGCATGGCAGAATATGCCTGTCTCAGATGGCAAGCAGCATAGAAACTCATTCACCAAGTTAACCTGGAAACTCAGCCATGACATTAACCAAGATCACTTCGAAGTTGGCTTGGTTGGCTGTCCGACCCAGCAAGCATTCAATGTCCATAATTGATCACATCCAGCTGCAAAATCCAGGTGAGTAAAACATG